CAATGACAGCATCAGCCCTTCAATGCATGCGTAAGATCAATTAAAACAGCTCTAAACCATCTTAATAGCAACACAATACTGCTATTGTTTTGCAGTGTTAGTGTGCTGGTCACAATTTGTTAACAACATATTTTAAATGTTTTGAATTAGCAGAAAATCTCCTGTGCCGCCTAAGAAAGAGGAGGATAAGAAACCACATATCAAAAAGCCTCTGAATGCTTTCATGCTGTATATGAAGGAGATGAGAGCCAAAGTAGTGGCAGAGTGCACCCTGAAAGAGAGCGCTGCTATCAACCAGATCCTTGGACGTCGGGTAAATAGTGCACAAAAATACATCTCAGCTACTATCCACCTGCATGTGTCTGTGAAAGCTTTTTATTAGTGCTTTGATACATCCTCTTTGTCCATAGTGGCATTCCCTGTCCAGAGAGGAGCAAGCCAAATACTATGAGCTGGCCAGAAAAGAGAGGCAGCTCCACTCTCAGCTTTACCCAGGATGGTCAGCACGAGATAACTATGTAAGTTCACTGCTATTGTCATGGAAAGAAGATACCGCTAAATGTTTCTGTAGAGTACTGTGCGACAAGACATGTTTAAGACTAACTAATACTTGAGTTTTGTATTTTGATATTTATGTTTTTTATTGAAATTATTTATTTTGTATTCAATAGCTTAGTTACCCTGATAGTTTAATGTAAGATTTGTGTGCATTTATTTCTTGTTGGTTGCCAAATGATTTCCCCACTATCTAAGTATTTATCTGTCTAGTATTTTATATTTTGCTGAATACAATATTTTTATCCTTGCAGGGAAAGAGGAAAAAGAGGAAAGAGAGACAACAAACCTGATTCCAAACCGGAAGGTAAGAGCTTCTTAGAATATGGGACATTCAAATTACTTTAAAAGACATTCTCTTTCTAAATATATTAATTGTCCCTTGATTAAGTCCTTTTCTAACATTATTAACATCTTTTCCACTGTGCTTTAATAACCAGCCTATGAAGTTCAGTGCTAGTAGGGGCAGGTATGTTTCCTGTACATCAATACATGACATTTTTCTGCAATGCAACTACATAATCCTTGGCTCATTAATTCAGTGTTCATTTTGCATTAAACATTAGATCTGTCTATTGTCTAGGTGTATTGCTTTGGTTGAATTGTGAAGTGGTTTCCGTCTGTTTCAAGTTCTGTCTGAGGGCTTCATTGTTCTCTAACCATCTTTTCACTTCTTTCACTGACACCATTCAGGGACATGGACCAGATTTTAACTTTGCGGCACATTTATAATTCACCATCCTGTTGTGCTTGTGTGTGCACAGACTTCTCCATAAGAAACAAGAAGCAGTGCGTTCAGTACCTGCCGTCAGAGAAGATGTGTGACAGTCCGGCCTCATCCCACGGCAGCATGTTGGACTCTCCTGCCACCCCCTCGGCTGCTCTGGCCTCGCCCGCTGCCCCCGCCGCTACTCACTCAGAGCAGGCCCAGCCACTCTCACTAACCACCAAACCCGAAGGGCGCATGCAGCATCACTTCTCTCTCCCAGCAAAGGCATCAGGCTCCTCCTCGTCCCAACTCGCCCACTCCACTGGTTCTTCAGGTAGCAGCCAACCCACAACACCCATCCTCACCAGGCCCATCCCGTTCACCTCTCTGCCCCACTCCATGCTCTCTCCCCCCTCTCCTTTCCACCAGGCTGCCCTGCACTCCCATCATGCCCTGTTCCAGTCGCAGCCCCTCTCGCTGGTCACTAAACCGACTGAGTAACTCTGTCCCATTTATTGTGCTGTATATTGCTTTTCTTTTAAATAGTTTTAGTACAACTGTTTTTAATAATAGAAAAGGAAGGAATATTATTGGTCAATATTTGACTGTTTCCTTTTCTACAACTCTCAATGAAACAAATGTATTTTTTGTAAAGTTTTACTGCAGAACTGGTTTCTTTTTGATGCATTTATCCAATGAACCTCTTGTATAAAATATCCAATGTACATAACATTTCTTTATAAAAACAAAAAGGAAGAAAAACATGTTTTTTCTTTTTAGCCAAAACTGAATTAATGTTAGTATTAAGTCGAAGTCCTAGGCCAATAATTGCTGCCCTCTTTTTAATTCAAGTGTGTGCCCCTTCTTTGACATGTTAAATAAACATTTGAAATTGTTTCTTAAAATGCCTTCTTTTGTATATAAATGCATGATTTATTTTCTTTAATTTCATGTAGATATTATACTACACTCCAGTGACATAAAACAGTCATTTTATTTTCTAGCTTTTAAACTCAGTAATTCCACATCTTCATAAAACCTTGCTGATGGGAGACAGGAATTTAATGCTTAATAAAAAGGAGTTAGGCTAACCACACTGGAAAATATGAGCTTGTACCAAGACCACAAATCTGTAGGCTCAAAATAAACACAAATAAAAGAAGAATAGACATCTGCCACTTCATTGTAAAGAGAGTCCCATTACAATGACAAAAAGCAGGTCAGCCCCGTTGCGGCACAGGTTCTGTGTGCTGCGTTTGGTTTTAGTGCATTTGGATCCACCATTTGGCAAACAGCTCAGGGTTTAATTAACTGAGAGGTAATGGGATGGAGCCCATGGGATCTCATTAGGCATTTCAATTAGTGGAAAATACACAAGATAGGTTACAGTTTTTGGTGGCGTTGGAGAAGTAGAGGAAGTGCAAGAGAAGGACCAATTACAAACAAGCAGAAGAACCAGGAGAGCGGACATCTCACTTCTCACATTTGAGGATACTGTTACTTTTTTATTATCCTTCTTATGGTCCTTATTACTCCTATTATTAAACTCATATTAATACATGTTGACATGGAGTTGTTAATTTGTTGTTCTTACAAATGTTGACACTGGAAATCAAAGTTAAAACCTTGCTTGTCTTTCAGGCAATGGTCTAAAAATGGGATGGACTGAGGATGCATTTACATTTTTGCCCTTCAGCTAGGAAGCAGAAATGTCACTCTCCTCCACTCTGAATTTAAGCTATCATTAGCCATAATAAGTCATTTTTTTCCATTCCTCGTTGTTCTCTACCTTACATCATTTCAGACACAAACCACAGTGGCCTGCCTACTCACAGCCAGCTCACCGGTCCGTCAGAGAAATTACAGGTAATGAGTTGTCAAAACAGCCAGCAAATCTGTCTCCTCAAGGCCATACATCATGAGCAATGTTCACCTTTCCAATAGACAGTGGCATTATTATAAAACTCAACCTTCTACCCATTGACTTAAATGTGCTAGTTATAATAGGTAATAGTATGACTTTTTAAAAACTGTCTTGTTCGTGTACCTTGTTAAATCAAGCAATTTCTTTTAAATAATTTTATCTTTTGCCTTAAGGGAGATTTAAATGTTTAAATTGGATGAAGACATTTCTGACATCCTTTTTTTTTATTATTATTATTATTATTATTATTATTATTATTATTATTATTTAGTAGTAGTAGTAGTTTTATTTTATTTTATTTTTTTACAGTATAGCAGTCATATAGTCGTCAGTAGTTTATGATCATAGGCTATGCTGGCTTTGGTATTGTATTGTTTACTGGGGGAGTAGGCTTGGTTTTCTTTCTGTGATGTAAGCACAAGGTCAGAGTTAATTTTGCTCATTAAATCATTCCAGTGTCTTGCCAGGTTTCTTCTGCAGGTCTTTGATCCTGAATTTATTCCAGGTTAACCCTTTGATTCTCCTCATATGTACACAGTCAGCTACATGAGATGACCTAAATAGCACATGATACTCCTGATCATCACATTTTAATATTTAGTGCAAAAACAACTGATGAGTGCAACGATTTTAGTGAGAGGCCATATACTTTAAATCTGATAGAAGACTTTTCAAATGCTGACCTCTTGACATCATGGATTGCCCAATGTGATACTAATGAATGTTTCTGTGACATGGGACAGAGCTTATCTTAAACTCAGCTGGTACCTTTCTGGAGGTAAGTACAACTGGTGGTGAGCTTTAAGAACCCCCTTAATGTATTATTCATCCTCATTTGATCCTTAAAAATGGAAATGCAAATGGGTGTCAAGCATAAGAAGGGTCTGAATGTTGAAAATATCAGTTGATAACAAAATATTCATTACAACATGTCCCACATGTTCCTTGCACCCAGATGACATGTAACACACCCACCATTATTATATGGATTAATTAGGTGTATATATATATATATATATATATATATATATATATATATATATATATATATATATATATATATGTGTGTGTGTGTGTGTGTGTGTGTGTATATATATATATATATATATATATATATATATATATATATATATATATATATATATATATATATATATATATATGATTGTGAAATATTAACAAATATTAGACAAGAGAACATTCATTTGTTCCACAATAGAGAAATCCCAGAGTTGAAAAGTGCAAAACATCAGGAGAATGTAAATAAATATGCAATCAAAAAATAAGATGAACCATTTAAATCAATCATTGACTACACAGTATGAGGAAAGGCAACAATGACTTGATCCAAAATTGGCCTGTATAAGCTACTACATTTAGGCTCATGCAAAGGTTGTTATGCAGGACTAACCCTGTGTGAAGGATATAAACAGTCTATGGTGAAGGACCAGGTCATAGATATAGAACGGTTTTATATCTATGAGACCAGGGCATCATTTGACGTGATAAAAACAAGAAATACGTCAATGCTGCCCCCTGCTGTCAATGCATGCTATTACCTCACTCTAGTGTAGTCATGCAACTTTCTCATTAGTGTCGGGACATGCAGTAGCTCCCCTGTAAAAACTGTAAAATAGTTGTACTTTATATTACATTATTTCACATTTTTATTTAGCAATTATTTTGTGCTGTGCTGCGTTTACGTAAGTTAGTTAAGATTTCTTTCAAGGCTCCAGTATTGCTGTAGCCTACATGCTCGACCAGTGAGCGGCAGTAAAGATCAAAAACTAAGTAAGAACAGAGTAAGAATAAATGCGGAAGCTGTTTTGACAACTCTCGTTAGATGCTGCAACAATGCATCTATCTGACGAGAGTGTTTGGTAATCCACTGGCCAGTCGTGAAGACAAAACAGGCTACATATCTCCCATTAATAGAGATATCGTTTTTATACGAGTTACCACCATGAGGACCACGTTTCTCTTGTTCACATTGTGTGTTTTCTGCTCCTTAGGCAAAGGTATGAAGCTCTCCGTTCATTTAAATGTCGTACTTCTACCATAATGGTTATTCTGACCTTGTTGTAAAGTAAAAACCCTTTTACAAGATAAACAAAAAAGGCAGTCTAGATGGTATCTGAAATGCCAAAGTTGGGCTCATTCTGATTTTTAGAATCGTATCATGCTGCTTCCTTATCTTTCCCCTGCTCCTTACACTCCCAGCTTTGGTGCTTTAAAATAATCTAAAAGATTAACAATTGTTCTAAATAACACTATTATGATAGTTGTAGATCATTTCTTTTAACTCATAAATATATTCAAATTGCAGTAAGCCCTTAAACGTTACTACATTTTATTTAATATTAACATTATGGTCAATTAATTACATTTCATTCTGTATTTATTTGCAGAGAGCATCTCTGTCTCGCCAACTGATGATGCACCAACTACTAGCAGGGAGGTGAAAGTGAAGTCTCTAACAACACAAGATCCACGACAACAAAAGTCTCCAGCCACTACAAAAATGCCTTCTAAACCTAAACCTAAAGAAGCTCATATCCAAAAAGACATCAAACCTACCCCGAAAAATGACAAACCAAGTCAGCAAAGTGATGTGAAGGATGCTGGTAGTAAGGTTGTCTTACAAAACCAAAAACCATCAGTTCCAGACCTAAGTCCAAATAAGACAAAAGAAGTTAAGGATAAAAATAACGGAACATTGGCTAAATCTGAAAATGTACAAACATTAGATGAGAACCAAGCTAAGAAGATAATCCCTGGACCAGAGGAAGTCGGGGCTGAATCACAGGATGTGGATCAGGCAGTGGAAAAGAAAAAAGTTGATAACAGCAAAGTGTTGCTTGACCCATCAGGTTTTAAACATACAGCAGAAAGCAGCCACTTCTTCGCCTACCTAGTTTCAACTGCAGTGCTTGTGGCTGTGCTATACATCACCTACCACAACAAACGCAAGGTAATTTTACATTTCCTGTTATGAATATAGTGACCCATTTACAGTGTTCCATTTACAGTTTTGTCATAGTTATCTATGAATAGTTTTGGTTTTTTTTCTTCTCTATATTTGTGCAATTACAATTTATGTAACTGATCAGGATTCTCAAATTAACTGCTCCCAGAAAAAGCCAAAGAGCATTTTATGGTGTCCAGACCATTGTTTGAAAGCATAGTAACTATTTGTTTAAGAAACATTAACTTTAAAGCATATGTTTAATGTATTTTAGATCATTGCATTTGTTCTGGAAGGGAAGAGAACAAGATCCACACGCCGACACACATCTGCAGAATACCAAAGACTGGAACAGCAGGTTAGCAAAGTTGACACATCATTGTTGATTTAAATAAAAACATTTAAAATGTATTAATTAGTTGACATTTATTTTCTGTTTACAGCCGTGACAATGATACTGATGACCCCTTTCTCTCTAGAAGCCCACTGCACTGTGAGGTTTTGGTTTGTGTTTAGCAGGTGTTAAATAAATGTTTGAATTTGTACTTTTAGATGATTTATGGGTTACTATGCAGTTGACATTATTGCCTTATTTGGATTTAAATGAAATGTAGTTAAGTTAAAGAAAGCATGCAGGTTTTGCACTAGTGTTGATTCACCTTTTGGTAATCTTCTATAACAGACCTGTCAAAGGTCCTGACTCAGGATATTTGTTTAAGAATTCTGTTTGGAGCCCTGCCTTTGTATACAGACTTTGGAGCAGTGGATTTACACTGTTCCCTAAATAAGCCATTTAAATTGTTGTAAATAACGAGATGATGTGACGTGTATCTGTGGTGAAATGTTTATAATATAAATTATTTTAACGTCGGCAATATTCCAATTTATATTACTGTTGTCTGTATTTGCTCCATACTGCCCAAAGAATGTATTCGTGTAGCCTCACTTTAAGTGATTGCCAATTGCTTTTAAGCATTCTGAACTAAGATGCACCACTATGCCAATAAAATACGAGGGGTAATGAAAGATGTCGTGAGAATGTTCACTTTTCCTTAAATCTGTCAGATGAGCCCATGATTGCTGGCAAATTTTCTGTAAAATGTGCAAGATGTAACATTTATTATACTGTGACTTCACTGTTGAACTTTTAGTACCTGACAATCTCAAAATTAAATCTTTTTTGACAAATTAATTGTTTGGTGTACCATAGATAGACGACAAGCCTGCGTCGGTGTGCATAAAAAAAAAATCAACGTTCTCTCAGAAGTATGTTTATTTGAGTCTGATTGACAGAAGTAATGAAAAGTTGTTTTTTTCACAATGGTGTCATGTTTCTGCTTTCGTCTTCGTAAATGTCTGGTATGTCTCCCACGGATGAGGACACCATGTGGACAGAGGCGCTCCCACGAATCTCACTCTCGTACCGGATTAACTGTCGCCAAAAGCCGGAGTTTGGTCTCGTCATAGGTCGACATTTCTTTATCCATGTGTGCGCCTCTAGTAGACTGACAGCGTGATATTTCATCAGGTAAACCATGCACAAAGCAGTGGAGCGACTCACACCAGCATTACAATGTACTAGTGTACGCCCATTTTTGTTCGCGTAAAACTGTATTTTATCAGCCACTTGGTCAAAACATTCGCTCAGGGGAGACATGGGGGAGTCAGGGATGGGGATGTGAATATATTCCACATCTAAAGGCGGTGTTGTCCTGTGTTTTGTCTCCGAAACATTGATGATACATGTGATGTTGCTCTCGGCCACCTGGGAGGCATCGTTGGCTGCAGCAGCGTTACTGAGGAAAAGGTGCTCCGTAACTTGACAGAGGCCAGAAAGACCAACGGAGCCGGATTTATGCATTTCAAATAAAGGCTCCACAAAAATTAAAAAAAATTAAAAAGCCGAAAGTTTTATTCCCCTACTGTTTCCTGGTTCAAAAACCAACCAACCACGTCCACAGCATAGAGGAAGAAACCCTTAAACATCAGTGCCCCCTTTCGTTTGGCATAGCTTACTACATGTTTATTTCTTCAAATCTTCAAAGCTTTAAATAGGCCAGGAGAACTATTGAGATACTGAAGATATTTACTTTTATTTGCATATGTCCAACAGAACACAAAAGCACGCAAGAGGCTACAAACCCCCACAGTATATTTTTATACTATATATATATATATACATATACATATACACACACCACACACACAACACACACACACATATATATATATATATATATATATATATATATATATATATATATATATATATATATATATATATATTATTTTTATTTTATTTTTTAAATCTAGTTTAAATTTAAAAGGCAGAGGAGGGATGAAGTTCCTCTCTACGCCTGTATGAGATGTTAAAACTGTTGTTAAAGTCCTGTGGGATGGTTGGAGAGGCAGGAGCTGGTGCTGATGCCCGCAGGCAGAGGGTTGCCTTGGAAACACAGATGGTGGACGGAGAGCGCACAAAAGAGCGTAAACCTGTGGCAGCAGCTGGAGACCGAGACGCCCATTAGTACACGTCTGCTCTAGACCAGCGTTTTGTTAATAGAGCTCCTCCATTCTTTGTTTAGAGGGTTGTATCGACGTCCTGTAGTATTCGGACCGGATCCCAGTTTTTGCGCAGCTGTTGTGAACACTCCCACATCTGCGGTCTGAGGTCGAGAGCCATAAAAGACGGTGTTCAAGCGCACCTCTCCCGTGAGTCCACACCAGGTTCCCTATGTCTACACACCCGTGGATTTTCTTTATTACCTTGCCAGCTTGGTTTCGTTACGTGAAACAGCTGATTTTTTGGGGAAAAGAAACAATTACGACGACGCAGCTTCTGATACTGCAAAAGGACCGGTAAATATGGATCTCACATCTCAGTCTATTTGGAAATGTAACACATTTAAAATAAACAGCTGTACTAGTAATGTGTAAAAGCTGTAGGCCCTTTTTTCAAAGCATTTAGGCTATGTGTTCCTACTGCTCCCTGATAAATGTATAGGCTAATTCTACTTTGCCAATTCTGTCAAATATTTTATTTTTATATATTAGATCATTTATATTCGCTAGTAAACTTGTTGATAGGATAATTTCACCCAACATATGGAGGCATGTTACAGTATTATTGCATGTTAATTGTTAAATCATAAACATTACAGTAAAACAGGTAAAATGTTTTATTTTGTAGGTTATTAGTCCTTTGAGTCAATGGATTATTATTTCTTCTGCTCTGGAATGTGGAATACCAAGGATGCCCTCGGAGGCCATCAAAACAGGTCATGTGAGACTTTTCTGAAATTATAATGTTTCTAATCATGTCTTTAGCACAAAATATCAAAATGAGAAGATCAAAACTGTATTACTCTATCATGATTTAAATAATCAAAAAGATCTGTAAGTACATTCAAATAGCTGCCCCATTCTGCTACTGCTTTTGTCCTGTGCCTTCTTCTCCAGTTTCACTGATGAACAGGCTCAGAGTGGACCTCATTGTACTCCTGGCCACCTCCCCTGTGCCGCTGCCACTGCTGCTACTCTCAGAATGGTACACCCTCTCTCTCTCTCTCTCTCTCTCTCTCTCTCTCTCTCTCTCTCTCTCTCTGTTTTGCTCTCTCTCTCGCTTTCTGATGATTTACACTGCACAAGACGTTTATCCTTCTCATATTCAGTTTACACACTTCTCAGTATAGCAGCTTATTGTCACCAACCTGACTGACTTTCCACATCTCTGCTGTCAGGATGTGCAAATGTGTAACATGAGAGAATTAGTATAGGAGAGATTAGAGCCTATATTAAATAGCTCCAGGTTTCTGGACACCAGAATTTCAATGACGCTTAATGAACAAAATCGTTAAAGAAAGAAAGAAGAAAATTAAATTTTATTGCATTAACACACTATTTAGGATTTTAGTTTGCCCCACCTTATTATACAACGTAATAATATATTTTTATGCTATGTTTTATAGGTATTGTGTTTTCTTGTATATGTGTTTGTTTTATGTAATAGTAATATGCTGCAGCCTGCTGAGCACTTACACAGACAAGAGTCTAAAATTAGGTTTGCAGCTTTTTCTAATCTACATATTATTATTACTATTACTTATTATTATTTTTTTGCAGGTTGTTACCACGATCCAGACGAGGACCAGAAAGAACATCCATTTTGACTGAGAAAACACTGAGATTTAGTGATTTAGTGAGCAGCAGCTGTAAAGCTTGTTTCTAGCAGGTGTTGTTTTGAAATCAGAATAATTTAAAGCATATATTTCTAAACAGATGTGTGCTCTCTGTGAGAAGTAGCAACATCAACTCCTTTGCTCTCCAAATTACAGTGGGGAAATGAGTATTTGATCCCTTGCTAATTTTGTAGGTTTTCCCACTGACAAAAAAATGTATAGTCTATAATTTTAATGGTAGGTTTATTTTAATATTGAGAGATAGAATATCAAAAAGAAAATTCTGAAAATCACATTATAGAAAATATATGAATTGATTTGCATTTCATTGTGTGAAATAAGTATTTGATTATCTACCAACCATTAAGAGTTGTTGCTCCCACAGACCAGTAAGACACTCCTAATCAACTTGTCACCTGAATTAGAATCCTGTTTTAACTAGTCACCTGTATAAAAGAGACCTGTCCAATCAATCAGACTCCAAACTCTCCAACATGGGATATACCAAAGAGCTGTCAAAGGATGTCAGGGACAACATTGTAGACCTGCACAAGGCTGGAATGGGCTACAAAACCATAAGCAAGAAGCTGGGTGTTAAGGAGACAACTGTTGGTGCAATTGTTTCATAAAATTTAAGAAGCACAAAACAACCATCAGTTAACCTCGGTCTGGGGCTCCACACAAGATCTCACCTCGTGGGGTTTCAGTGATCATGAGAACAGTGAGAAATAAGCTTAGAACTACACGGGAGGAATTAGTCAGTGATCTCTAGACAGCTGGGACCACAGTCACTAAGAAAACCATCGGTAACACTTTACGCCTCAATGGATTAAAACCCTGCAGTGCTCGCAAGGTAGGCACCTGTGCAGGCCCACCTGAAGTTTGCCAATGAACACCTGAATGATTTAGAAAGTGATTGAGAGAAGGTGCTGTAGTCAGATGAGACCAAAATTTAGCTGTTTTTGATGTTAACTCAACTTGCTGTTTGGAGGAAGAGCAATAACCCAAAACATACAGCCAAGGCAACAATGGAGTGGCTCAAGAAGCACATTAAGGTTATGGAGTGGCCCAGCCAGTCTCTGGACCTTAACCCTATAGAAAACTTATGGACGGAGCTGAAGCTCCGAGTTGCCAAGCGACAACCACAAAACCTTAATGATTAAGAGATGATCTGCAAAGAAGAATAGACCAAAATTCCACCTGATATGTGCGCAAACCTGGTGACCAACTACAAGAAACATCTGACCTCTGTGCTTCCAGTCTTTTTTGGCTAGAACGTTCAAATACATGTTTCAGTCAATGAAATGCAAACCAGTTTATATATTTTCTGGATTTTCTTTTTGATGTTCTGTTTTGCTCTGTTAATTTCTTTGTCACTATACAAACTTACAAAATCAGCAAGGGATCAAATACTTATTTCCTCCACTGTGTGCTGCTATTATTTTTAACATGACTGACTAACTGTATGGATATCTGTTTATATATACAGTTTGAGGATTTGCAGAGTCACAAAATCATACATTTACATTTGATATTACATGTTAACAGGAAAAAATAGCAACAACACTGGAGTCAACCTTATTGGCATTGTTGATTTACTTTGCTGTTCACCAAACTCCGACTGTCCGTGCTCTGTCTCCTCGGTCCCCAGTGTTCATCAACACTTCTGCCATGTTTGATTCAAAGACCGATTTTCTATTTAGGTTAACACTTTCTGAAACCTCTGATTTATCCATGGGTCTTACTGGTTATTCACCACCACAATCAGTGAAATGTGTTTCATAGTAATAGCCTGTTAACATTTGTGTTGTGTTTTTTGTGTGTCTGAAGCGCATGGTGTGGGTTTATGCTACATTTATGTGTGCATGTTTTACAATGATCCCGAGCCATAACCTGCCTCACAAATAATAAAATGCCTGAAGCTATTTTCTCTGAGTTAAAGGGTACCAACAAAGGGACGGGCTATTTGAAAAGGTTTTTTTGTTGTTGTTGCTATATTCATATCCAGCTTTTAACCTCATTTAGGTTTGATTGTATGCCTGATTATACTGGTGATATTTTATAAGATTTTTGACTTTTTTAAAAAACAGAATTTACCTTTACAATTAGCCCTTTTCTCTTGCTTGGAAGATACTAACAGAATCTTACTAATATCTAACAAAACTACTAATGCTCCCTAACAGTGACACTAACATCATTCACTTCAATATTAGGGATGCACTAATTCATCTTTTGTAGTTCTGATACTGATTCTGATACTGTAGCTTTAAGAATTTGCCAATACCCGATATCAGCCAATACCTGTGCAAAGACTGAAAATATTTTACTGACTTTATTTTCCTATAAACAAAAAATTATTGCCAAATGTGTTATGCAGCTACTAATTCTCAAGTAACTACAGAACAACTTTGTATTAAATTTTCATGGATCTGTGCCTCCCTATTTTATGTCAACTGCTGTCTAACCGTTTTTTCTGCTCTCCCATCATCCTACAGCTCATTAAATGTCTGTCTTCAAATTACTGTTTTAAAAACAACAGTAAGTAAGATGTACTGAATAAGCAATGACAGTGAAATGGTTGCAGGATTGGGATATAAGCCACCAAAGCTATATAAAATTATAGGATGACCACATGTTGCATTTAATCTGTGGAAATAACTCACACTGTAAAAAAAAAAAAAAAAAAAAAAGAAAAAAAAAGTGCACTGTGTGGTCAGCCTTTGCTACATAGTGCCTGGCTTGTGCTTGCTGAACAGTCAACCACTGCCCAGAAAACTAACCTGTTCTGATGTTC